CACCTAGCGATAGCACAGTGGGTAGGGCGTTTGCCTTGCACGCGGCCCACATGGCCAACCGAGTTCAATTTGTCTACCTCTCTCGGAGAGCCCGGCAAGCTATCGAGAGTATCTCGCCTGCACAGTAAGCCTGGCAAGCTACCTGTGACTTATTCGATATGCCAAATACAGTAACAAGTCTCACAATGTTACTGGGTCCACTCGAGCAAATCAATGAACAACGGGAGGACAGTGAGAGCAATCCACCACCATTTCAAACAGCAATCCCACCACCATTATACCTTCCCACCACCAAATTTGGGATGTTCCCATCCCCAGCCCCAATCCCTATCCCATAGTACAACTGCTGAAAATGCTACAAAAAAAGTATCCATAGAGGAAATAGTATGAAGATAGTTCTATTTTGGCAGGGGCCATTAAGACATTCTTGGGGATATCACTAACATGTTGTTAAAGGTTGAGTGATGTGAGCTTTCGTATGTATATATGCATATACATATCAAATGTGTTGTGGTATTTATGGAGAATGGAAAGGGAGTGTCTTATGATGTGTCATTTGCGGCTGCGGTCCAGGAACATGTTCACTCTAGTGTACAGTGAGGTTCCGCCGAGCATGTGGGGAGCAACCTTGAATGTGGTGGTGGTTAGGTTCTGGAGGTTTTTGGCTGCCAGAGCTGGGCCCCTTGGGGAGGGGAGGGCTCTCACCAGCACCCCCCAGAGGATAGTTTTGAAGGATAATGGCAGAAGGAGAAGGGAGGATTTTAATCTGGACATATTGAATTTGGGGTGCCATAATAAAGCGAAGCGTCATATTGAGTTGGAAAAATGGAATTTGCTTATGTGTGCATTAAATCTTGCAGGCTTCATGTTGACACGCTCAAGTTCTTTACACAAGTTTTGTGGAAGAAAATCCTGTATGATGATAAGAAGAGAAGATTTTTTTTTCTTTCTGCAAAAAGAGTACATTTAATTTGGTGGTTTAAGTGATGGTTTTTAAAATAGCCTGGTGTCTTTTTCTACCTGCTGTTCACTTATTAGTTGACTTTGAACCTTTGCTGAATTTCATCACAGATATTTTTCTTGGAAGAAAGGGAATAATAAATACTCTTTTGAGTTATTGCAAAGCTGTTGAAATCTAGACAGTATTTTCAAAGCCCATCTGAGTTGTTGCAAAGCACAGTGCCCCATAGAGTATTGTATTACTTTGCTTTAGTTTGCTTTCAAAACTTCCAGCCTTCCAATTATCCTGTTGTTAGTGAGCTCAGTACTAAAGTGAATATGCTTGTTTTCTAGAATGGAATTTTCAGATGATAAAAGTTTATATTTGCCAACTGAGATAGCCCAATATTTAGCTAATTAGGACATGGACTTCATTCTGCTATATATAGGCATATATTATCTATTCTTTTCTTGTGTATATGTGTTTGTCTTGGAGATGTGTGTCCTGTTTGTACTCTATTTCAGCAAGCATTTTTCAATTGGTGCTGAAACCAGTTTATTTTTATTTTCTGAGTGTTTTTTTTGATGGATATTTTATTATAGGAAGTGGAGAACATCCAAGCCAATAGGCCAGACACAGAAATTGTGAAATACGTAAAGTGTAGTTTTTTTTGTTTAATCAAGGTGAACTCACATTTCCCCAAGGACCTTCCCATGTCCCAATAGTGTCCCCTGTCAATTGGCATCTTTCAAGGTAACCTTCACCTTAAGAAGCTACCTATGGCACTGTCAATCTCCTTAAGGCTGTGGGTTTGCTGTGATGTACACTTCAGCCATGCTTCCAGGAAAGAGATGCCATACCTGAGTGAAAATGGAGGAAGTACAGAAAACAAACAAGAGTCAGAGTAAATTTCACCGGGAGTCTGCTTCCTTTAGCCAGTGGGACTGCACTGTAGTCATGGAGACTGGGTCCAAAGGGAGGTAAGGGAAGAGAAAGGAGGCCATCACTATAGTGGGTATTCATATTAGACATTGGAGAAGGTTTTTGCACGTGTATTGTCTTGTTTTATTTAAGAAAGCACTAGGTTTTGTTCTTTTTAACTTCATTGATTGATCATCGGTTCCCAGTGTTATAGAATATCTGGACTATGGCAAGCACCTCTACACATGCTCAGGACCTCTTAAAGTTCCAATCCCCACCAGCCACCAAAAGGACCCCTCAAGGCATGCCCATGCTTCCCCATCCCTTGTCTCTTCTGGGAACGTCTGGAGTTTGCAATGAGCCTGGGAGTTCATTTTGTTGTTTGTCTGCCTGATTGTTAAGCAATGTATTTTCTTAAGTAGAAAGCCTTTCATATAGTTTCTATTTGACAATTCCTGCAGCTACCCTTTGGAAGGTTTTCCCTCTAAGGGCCCCCTTACCACCAACCTTTTTGCTGTTTTTGTTTAAACAATTTTAAAGACTAAACTATATATTTGATTTTTTTAATTCCAGGGTAAACATAAGGTCTTTTAATGGTCATTTCTCTAAGGAAAAAAAAGTGCCAGTGAAGTCACAGAGGCTTTGAAAATAGTATTTAGGGGCTGGAGCAATAGCACAGTGGGCAGTGTGTTTGCCTTGCACGCTGCCGACCCAGGTTAGATTCCCAGCATCCCATATGGTCCCCCGAGGACCTCCAGGAGTGATTCCTGAGTGCAGAGCCAGGAGTAACCCCTGAGCATCACCAGATGTGATCCAAAAAGAAAAAAATACTATTCATTTTTTTGAGTAACAAACTGGCTTGCACGGTACACAATAAAATGGCATTGACATTTTTCTTTTGAAGGACAAAAGCAGGCTAACATGTGTATAGTCTGGAGGCTTTCTGACTGCGGTGTGGACTTCTTCATTCTTCTGCTCTGCACTTGATGCGATTTGCTTAGGAATAATAAAGCTGTGGATATTGGAATAGGATTGTCCATATGGGGGTTCCTTCCTTGTGGTCTGGTCATCATGGTCCTGAGCTATCTGGTCCATGGCCATATGCAGAAATTTCTTTTGGAGCCTGAGGTCTCGGCAGCCTGAGCTTGTCAGGCACATGCTGGGCTCAGGAGCCTCCAGAAACCACTGAACTTTGCACAGGCTGTGGGTGGCGGAGCACTTACGTGTGCCCACCCTGCTGTTCTGCTTGGAGCCACCACTGATTTCAATTATGACTTCAACAGGCAGCTTTGAGGGCTCCTCTATTCATTACAGTGCCTCACACTCTATAATTAGTAATAAAGGCACACAGGCACTTCACAAATATAAAGGGCTAAACAATAATCAGGCAGTAAAGGCAACGCACTGGGACTTTTCCATCTAACTCTTTGTTTCCTTCGAGTTGAAAGAAAAAGCTGCTTTTGTTGTTCCATTTTCATTTTTTTGACTCTTGAATAATCTGGGTTTGAATCTCATTTTCATCACTTGTTGTCTGTATGACTCTGAGCATTTACCAAAGTTTGGTGTGCCCTTCTTTCCTTATCTGTAAAATGGAGATAATGACTGTCTCATTTTATGGAGGTTGAGGGTTAAGTGAAGATAATTTATGCCGTGTGCTTTATATGAAATTCCACTAATGTAAAACCTTGTTCAGTAAATGTTGGCTCTTATTATCATCATTTTAATTTCAAATGAAATGAATGCATAGAATATAAGACACAGGCATAGGTCTTTAGAATGCCTTTTTAGAAAACCTCCATTATGTTTTCAGACACATACAAATAGAATATTCCACCACCACCATCCCAGATACACACCTGTACCCATGACAGCACTGACAATAATCAAGACTGTTTTTTTCTTTTTGGGTCACACTCAGTGGTGCTCAGGGGTTATTCCTGGTTCTGCACTCAGAAATCACTCCTGGCATTGCTCGGGGGACCATATGGGATGCCAGAAATCAAACTGGGGTCTGACACGTGCAAGGCAAACACCCTACCCACTGTACCATTGCTCCAGCCCCCAAATGATCAAGATTTGACCAGTGTTGTTACAAATAGCCTTCTATATTTTCTTCTAGGTTTTTTGTTTGTTTTTGGACCACAGTCAGTGGTGCTCATGTCTTACTCCTGGCTCTGCAGTCAGGGATCACTTCTGGTAAGGTTTGGGGGACCCATATGGTGCTGGGGATTGAACCGGGGTCATGTGTGCAAGGCAAGTGCCTTACTTGTTGCACTCTCTCTGTCTAGAATATTTTAATATGAATTTTAAGAACCACATAATTTTCACTCATGCATTGGATTACATCAATATTCTTGATATTAGAATCTCTAATATGTGAAGAATATTAATATTGTTGATACTAAAATCACTAATATGTGAAGAGGAGCTTTTTTTTTCCTTCTTTTTTTTTTGTAGTGTCAGGCAGATTGAATTTACGGACTCTCACATGCAAGGCAATTGCTCTTCCACTGAGTCATACTCCAAACACCCGAGAGCTTCTCTTTTTGATATAAACATCCATGATATGCTAAGAGTATTTTGTATTATGTCTTTTTTTTTTAATCTGGGTTACACAGGTAATGTTTAGGGGTTGCTCCTAGCTCTATGCTCAAGAATTATTCCTGGACCATGGCTTGGGGGACCCTGTGGGGTGTTTGGAATCAAAACCTAGGTTAGCCATATGCACGACAACTGCCCAACCCGCTCAGGTATCATGCCTTCTTAACCTCAAGTCCAGTTCTTACAGAATTTATAGAAATTAGTTAAACTCCTACATTTGTTTAACTTGTGAGCAAACAATCCAAATTTAATTTCTTCCACTTTCTGAGAGATGATTCATGAAAACGTATTGAGTAATTAAACGAGGGTAGGAATTTTATAGAATGTCTGATGTAGATGGTATGTACATGTTTTACAAGATCAACAAATACTTTTAATACTTGGATGAGATTTTTAATATTTAAATCCCCCAGTTTTGTAATGCCATGAACATTAATAATGCTTACATAATTAGCACTTGAAAGGAGGTTTAACTCTGGTACTCAAATTATTTGTGAATGTCTGACTGTAAGCAACTTCATGAAAAGCAATTAGCAGATTCTTCAAACACATGACAAATCCTTTATTACTGTGCTTATAAGTGACACGGTTCACAGAAAACCAAATGTAATTAAATAACATTGAACTTGAAATCTACCACAGACTCAAGATATACAAGTTATACTTGGCAAGGCAAAACTTCTCAAACACTAGGTATGTTTCAGGTGAAAGATAAATTTCCATTTAGTAATTCCAACATTTTTTTTGTCTTACAGACAGTTCCTTTGGCAATAACTTCCACTTTAGCTTTTATTATATAAAAATATAACAAAATTTCATTATATACAAACATTACATTACACAATGTACAGGTTAAAAACACTAAGAAAATGGCAAGCTGCAAGAGAAATTAAAGTCAATAGCATGATAAGAAAAATTAAGTACTGCACACATTTCATAAAAATTACATTAACTACATTTTTTTTGTTTGCAAATACCAAACAGTACCAATGTGATTGGAAATAGTTTCCAACAACTTCATTTTAAGGCACATCTTGCATATTTATATATACAACACTGAAACTGGTCAATAACTTAGGGGTTTCTCGGAGTGACCTGTATATGTGTGAAGACATGCAACTCGGGATTACACATTTTCATCGGCTTCCTTCTTTGGGGATAGGTACCTGCCCCCAGGGGGGGACTGATAGAGGGGCACCCCAATCTCCTGCAAGTCTGGGAGCCTTCCTGGACGGGGAGGGGAGAGCAGGGTGACTGTCCTGTCATAGTCTCTGTGCAGCACTTTCTCGTAGACGCTCTGCAGCCCGACTGTCTTGGGCAGCTGCGCCTGGTAGAAATTGTCCCTGCGCAGAGGGTCCCGAGGCAGGGAGGTGCTCTTACAGAAGGTGGACATCTGGGCGGGCGGGTGAGGAGGTGGGTGAGCATTGGGTCCTCCACAGGATGGGCTCCAGCAGCGGTCAGAGTGACCCAGGATCTTACACTCTGCGGTGCACGCCCACAGTCCTAACATAAAACAGAAAGGCACAGATCATGATTAGTATTACTGAGATGACACACACCTCCACCTCCGTCTTCAGAAGGTCGGTCGGGGTCTGGAGGGCTGCAAAGGAAAACTTAGATGAAGACACGATTCAAGGGTTGAAAGGAATTTTGCTTCCGGGAAAGCCACCTTAACATGAAACTGAGCCGACTCCTTTAGGTGGAATTAAAAAAGCAAGCCACAGAATCTCCCTCTTCTGACAGGCAGCCTCACACCAGCCTTTATTATTCAAGTGCTGGAAAGTGCTTTGTTAACCAAGTGATGGAAGCGCTTAGGTCTTGGCCTTTGAAAATCACAAAAGCCGGGCAGGCCTAGATGGGCCCCTCCCCGCCACCCCGCCCCCCAACTCCAAGAAAAAAGGTGGGGAAGACAGAGGCGCTGGGGAAGCGGACGGATGCGGGGAGGGCAGCTGGGCCGGGGAATAGAAGGGTCCTCACCACTCTGCATGTGGTTGATGAGATCCTTTTTCAGAGCGTCCCCACTGATGTCAGAATCACTGTCGTTGAAATCACTGTCCCCTTTGCCGCTGTCTTTGCCGCTGAACTTCTCGGCTTCCCGGCCCGAGATGGTGTTGAAGGAGTGTCCCTTCCAGACCGCCACTGGGGGCGCCGGTTCCTTTCCGAAGCCCGGGGAGGCGCCGTAGGGCTGCAGGAAGCGGGTGGGAAGGTTGGGGAGGGAAAAACAAGAGCGAGCCACAGGTTAAGCGTCTCCCGCGCGCAGCCCACCCAGTCCCCTCCAAGTCCCTGCCCCCAGCCTGCCCGCGGAGCCCGGAGGGGGGCGCCCGGCCGAAGGAAGGGCCTCACCTCGGCGTGCGCGCCGCGGAGCCGCTGCTGCCCCTCGAAGTGACAGGAGCTTTCCCCCGTGGCGCTGCCGCCCTCCGAGCCCGGCACTTCGGCCGCGGCGACCGCGGGCGGGGGCGCGTCGGCCGCGGGGCTGCCAAAGGGCGCTTTGCCGCTGCCAGGGAAGGTGAGCACGTCGAACATGTTGGGCCGGGGCCCGGCTCCCCGGGCGGTTTCCTCTGGGGAGCCAGGAGCCGAGGCTCCGCCGCCCGCCGCCCCGGGCCGTTCTTCCCGGCGGGGCCCCCCTTTGCGCACCTCCTTCTTGCGGCGATTGCAGGTGGTGGCGATGGCGATGATGGCGGCCAGCAGCAGCGTGCAGCTCCCCGCCAGCACGATGATGACGATCAGCGGGGTGTCCCACTGGAGGGCCGGCCCGGACGCCGCGAGCCGCGAGCCGGGCGGGCGGGAGCGCTCGGTGCTCCCCGCGCCGGCGGGCGCCGCCGGCCCCCGTCCCCCGCCCGCGGTCACCACGAAGCTGACGGTGGCCGTGGTGGAGAGCGGGGGGCGGCCGCCGTCGGAGATGACCAGCAGCGCCTGGAACACGCGGCCCGGCGGCTCCTGCGAGAGGTCGCCGGTGAGCACGATCTCCCCCGTGCGGCGGCCGATGGCGAAGGCTTCCCGCGGCTCCTGCTGCAGGAGTTCAAATGCCAGCTCCCCGTTGGCGCCCTCGTCCGCGTCGCGGGCCTGCACGCGTGCCACCGCCGTGTCCTTCGCCGTGCGCCCCGGGACGGCCACTTCCAGGGAGCCGTTGGCCGGTGCGGGGTGCACCAGGACCGGCGCGTGGTCGTTCTGGTCCAGCACGCGCACCTGCACCAGGGCGCTGCTGGAGAGCTGCGGGGAGCCGCCGTCGCTCGCTTGGACGCGCACGTCGAGCTGGCGCAGCGTCTCGTAGTCGAAGCTGCGCAGCGCGTAGATGGCCCCGGTGGCGGGGTCCACCGAGACGTAGGTGGACACGGCACCTCCCGCGCGGCCCACCTCGGCCTCCAGCAGCCTGTAGGTGACCTGGCCGTTGCGGCCCAGGTCGGGGTCGCGGGCGGCCACGGTGGCCAAGTAGGCGCCGGGCGGGTTGTTCTCGCGCACCGACACCTCGTAGAGCGGCCGCGTGAAGACTGGCGCGTTGTCGTTCTCGTCGCCCACGCGCACCGTGTAGGGCCTGACCGTGCGCAGCGGCGGGGAGCCGCGGTCCTCGGCCACCAGCGTCAGGTTGTACTCGGCGATGCGCTCGCGGTCCAGGGCCGCCGCGGTCACCACCAGGTAGCTGCCCGCGTAGGCCGGCTGCAGGCGGAAATGCTCGTGCCCGTAGAGGGCGCAGCGCACCTGCCCGTTGGCGCCCGAGTCCCTGTCCGAGGTGCTGACCAGCGCCACGAGGCTCTCCCGCGCCGCCCCCTCCGGCACCAGCGACACGGCGCCGGCCTCGGGCGTCCCGGGCCCAGCAGACGACGCTGCGTCCGCCCCCCCGAGAGCCGCGGCGGCCGCGGCGGCGGCGGCGAAGGGCGAAGCTCCGGGCGCGCCCGGGGCGGCCAGCGGGGTGATGGCAATGTCAGGCGCGTTGTCGTTGACGTCGCGGATGCGCACGATCACCTTGCAGGTGGCGGCGCGGGGCCCCGGGCCGCGGTCCTGGGCCCGCACGTCCAGCTCGTAGGTGTCCTGGCGCTCGTAATCGACCGGGCCGGCCAGGGTGAGGCGGCCCGTGCGCGGGTCGAGGCGGAAGAGGCGGCGCGCCTCGGGCGGTGTGCGGGCCCCGAAGGAGAACACCACGTCGCCGTTGGGACCCTCGTCGGGGTCGGCCGCGTCCAGGTCGAGCAGCAGCGAGCCCACGGGCGCGTCCTCCGCCAGCTCCACTTCGGCCACGGCGCCCTGCGGGAAGGCCGGGCTGTGGTCGTTGGCGTCCAGCACCCGCACGCTGAGCGCGGCCGTGGCGGAGCGCGGGGGGCGCCCGCCGTCCTGGGCCACCAGCTCCAGGCTGTAGGTGGCCTGGTTCTCGCGGTCCAGTTCCTGCAGCAGCACCAGGTCGGCGCACTGGGCGCCGTCCGCGCGCGTCTGCAGCTCCACACGGAAGGGGCTGTGCGGCTCGGCCAGGCGCACGCTCTGCAGCCCGTTGGCACCCACGTCCTCGTCCACCGGCACCTCCAGGGGGATGCGTGTGCCCACAGCCGCGCCCTCGGACACCTCTACCGGGATCTGCGAGCGGGGGAAGCGCGGCGCGTGGTCGTTGACGTCTCTCACCTCCACCTCCACGTGCACCAGCCGGAACTGCTCCTGCGAGAAGCTGACCACATCGAAGGCCAGCACGCACTGCGGGGCCTGGCCGCACAGCTGCTCGCGGTCCAGGCCCGCGTCCCCGACGGTCAGCTGCCCGTCACCCTCGCGTACCCGGATCAGCGAGCTGTTGAACTGCTTCATCAGGCGGAAGCTTGTGTCTCCGGACACTTTCATATGCAGGTCCTCAGCGAGGGTCCCGATGACCGTGCCGGGGGCATCCTCCTCGAAGGTGCTGTAACGAACCGTCTTGCTTTGAGCCACCGAGAGCACCCAGCAGAGGCTGAAGAGCTGCAAGGGGAAAAGGCAGGGGCTGCCTTTGCGCCTCGCTACCCTCATGCCGACAGCCCCAAGTGCTATTCCAGAGACCGAAGGAAAAGGTTGCTCCCTAGTTTGCAGGTACGAGAGTGAGTCCTGGGTCCCTCGGAGCCCGCTCTTGGCGAGCCCTGTGCGGGAGAAGTCTGCCGGCTGCAGCTCGGCGCTCCCGCGGGCTCGGAGGACGCGCGGACCCGCCTTCACTCCGCACCTCGCCCTCCCTTCTCCTCTCCGGAGCTGCGCCGCCGAGCGCCGCCTCCGCTTTCATAGCCGCCGATATGCAAATCATCCCAGCCCCGCAGCCAATGGCAGCTTCGCCCTCGCGCCGCTCCTACGCCAGCCTCTGACAATCCCTTTAATGTGGAAAGGCTTAGAGGGGAAACGAGAAGGGAAAATTAAGGAATCTTTTCTTTGTTTCTTTAACTCCTTTTTGCTTCCCCCCCACCCCCTTTCCTGGCAGCGCCCTGCATGTTGAGGAATCGACACAGCTCAATGGGAGGAAAAGGAGATGATGCTCTGGTTAATAGCGCTCCTTTCCACGCCCGGCCGACTGCTTGAACGGAGTAAACACACAGGGTCTCACCCCATGTGGCTTGGGACCACCCCCCGCCCCCCATCTCCGCTTCCCAGCTCTCTGCATTTTGCTCCCCAAAGGCTTCCAAGCTCGCTGCCCGGCAGTCACCAGAGTCTCTGTGACTTGCTCTGCCGTGTGAGACTCTTCCCGCCTCCCTCTTCCACTTCCAGCTTCCACCGGGCCTGGAATAGCCTCTCGATCAGGGAGCCTAGAAGATGAGGGGAAATTGATTTTATTTAAATTTGTGTACTCAATTGTGTTTTGCTCGTGCGAGCCCTGGTGATCAGAACTGCCACTTCCCTTTCAGATGAAGAGTCCCGCGATGTGTTAGTATGCGTGTCACTGTCCAAATGGTTTTCTTAAGTCCTGGGCGCTAGCAGGCAAGGAAAAAAAAGTTCCAAATAGGATTTAGCATAAGCTTGAGGAGATTTGGAAAGGTTTCAAAGATCAGACTGTATCAAAGGCTTATGAAGCCCTCGTTAGCAGTAGAAATAGAATGGCATGGCAGGCAATCCCATTGGAGGCCCCAATGTCTATATTATTTCACCGTGACAAGCTAAGGGGAGAGAAAGTTGAACAGTTTCCACGGCGGAGTTAGGCTAACTTGAATATAATGAGCAAACGCCACATGTATCCATTATGTTCCTCTATTCATCCCCAATCACTGCCATAACTCTCCAGCTAAACGGTGATAGGCGCTGAATTCCACACAATACCCGGCTCATATTAAAGTGCATTTAGCGAACTTTCCCTCCTGATGCCTAGTTCCGCCTATTTAGAGGATTTGCTTTCTGTTCTAATCGGGCCGCTCTGGGAAGCAACGGTCAACCCGTTCCAGGAGAACAAAATCACAGCATGAAGCTGAAACCTGGCACAAACCTGGGGCAACTTAACCATCTGCCTAGAAAAGTGTGGAGCTCTGGCACTGCCAAAATGTGGGCTGGGCTATCTGGCCAGGCATTGCACTGCTGACATAGGTAGCTTGCCTCCAGCATCCCGGAAGACCAGGAAGACAGAACTGCAAACAGCAACACGTAGAATTCTCATGGATAGCTTTTACTGAGCAGATTATGCAAATACACAGTTTGCATAACCTGTAGGAGAGGTAAAAACAAAAGTCGTGCACAGGAAGTCTTTTTTATTTTTTATTTTTAAGCCAAGGATTTTATAAGCAGACTGCTTTTAGTAAACATTCTTCTAAATCCGAATTTTAATTCTGTTGTCAAGCATCCTATCTGTGTTTCCCCTCTAAACCACAGCAATGTGTTCTGGGGTCTTTGGGGAAGAGATGGAGGAATCTCCCCAGAGTAGGGAGACCAAACAGGGGTGGCTCTGGCAGGAGGGTGGAAAAGAGCTCTGAATCGCGGGAGAGCTAAGCAAGCAACCCTAGCCATCACTAACTAAAAACTGGGGAGGTGGGGGAGGCAGGCGGTGGCTATAATTAGCGGCTCTCTGAGAGCAGTCCTGCCTTAGGGGTTTCTTTCTCTACCTCCACCTCTAGGCAGCCCTAGAAATGCAAAGGGAAGCGCCCCCTACCAGTTCCTTGCCTTCACAGTTCTGCTCTTTGCCCCTTCCCCAAATACAATTTACTATCTAGCTCTCTCCCTGCTCGTGCCTGAGACATTTGTCAATGTTTAAGCAATATATATATATATATATATGTATATATATATATCCGTTCTTCTTTAGGAAACCCACCCGGGTTTGGGACCCGCAGGTGATCTCTGATACACCCACCTCACCCTTCCTCCGCGGGTCGACCCAGTTTGCGATTGTATTCAGAACTCGGCAGGCGGACTCTGCGCCCGGCTGCCAATCGCGGAAACCCAGAGGGGCCAGGCGGGTATCTCTCGCTGTTGCTGCTTCAGAGTGCAGAGCCCCAGGAGATGGATGGAGGGAGAGGGCAGGGGATCTGGAGTCGCAGAGAAGGATGCCTTTAGCTGCTCCCTGTGAGTAGACACTTGCCCAGAGCCTGGCCTCGAGGGACTGGGAACCCCCTGCACCCCGAACCCCCTGCACCTCCTGCGCCCCTTTCTCTGACCCCCTCCCAAGCCTGATAGTTCTGGGCTGAACTGAGGGTGCACAGCTCTATAGCTGTTTAAATTTGGGATTGCTTTGTTTGCCCGGAGAATCTAGATTGACTGTGTAACTCCAAGCGTGGTCACTTGCAGTCTTCCTCCGGCAAGCAGAGAACCAAGGCGTGCGTGGAGGGCAGTCGGGGGCAGGAAGAGTGGAGGAGCCGGCAAAGACCGGGAGGCTGGAGGCGTGGGCGTGGAGGGAGGGGATGCGAAGCGTTTAGAAGCAGGTCTCAGACACTTTGTCCGCCGTCGTCGCCACGGCCTCTCCAAGCAGGAACGGCAGCTGCGGCGCCGGGACGCTCAGAGCGCGGAGCCGGGGACGCGGAGCCGGCGGTGGCAGCTGCGAGCCCCGCGGCGGCGGCTGCGGGCTGCCGGGAGAGGTGTAAAGGCACGCGAGGCGACTCTGCCCTGGCCGGCGACCCGGGTCAGCAATGCAGATTATGGAAATGAGCTCTGGCAGAGGGCATCAACGCCTTTAGCGACTCCCGGGGGCTGCAAAATGCCCCGGGAGGTGGGGCTGAGGTTTCTAGGGGGCGGGGTGGAGGAATGAGGGGGCTCTCCTTGCCCCGACGCTGATCCGACTCCACAAAAGCGTCTCCAATGGTCTTGTTATCATACCAAAGGCCTGGGCTGAATAAAAGAAGCCCCACCCCCCTCTTTTTTCAGGGTTTTAGCAACTTCGCGGGCAACTGTTTTGCAATCCTGAGAACAAACACAGCCCACAAAGGGCCGCGTTTTCTCGGCATGCAAATGTTGCGTGCTCCGCAAAGCTACGTTCCCGCCACCGAACCTAATGCCCGCTTTGTGAAACTCGCGTGCAGACCCCGAGATTGACACCGGCGTCACGTGACGGATTAGGGTTCTAGGAAAGTTTTCATAGAGACCACAATGGGGTGCTCAGCCTGATCTGTTATCTCCCACAGTTTAGCGGGGTGGGGAGGAATCAGGATATATTCTCATATGTAATAGGATTTTCTTTTCCGTTTTAAGTTCTGTACAGCATGTAATTTATTTTTAATTAGGATTATATCAGGAAAAAAAGGACTCGACTTCTCAGGAAGGTGAAATTCTTTTTTTTTTTTTAACTTTTCAATCTGAGGGGGGAAATGTCTGGAGCTCAGTCTTTTTTCCTGCCACAGGCTCACTCCATCTGACAAATCTTCCAGGAAAGTTTGCAGCAAGGTTTTGACAGGCCAGAGAACAGAAGCAGCTCTTAAGGACCATCTAATTCATTCTTGTAAACTTCATAGAGATTTCTTAGAATTCCTGAGTTGCTGGATTTTAATGGGGTTTGCTCTTTAGAAATGTAAGCAAACCCGTTACTTCTCTCCAAATGTTTATATCTATCCTTCCTTTTTTGACTGACTGATTTTTGCTTTGCCAGGATGGAACCCAGAGCCCCACACACAGAAGGGAAAAATGCTTTGCCAGTGAGTCCCGCCCAGGGATGGTGACTTTCAACCTTTAATATCAAATCACAAAGCAGCATCTTCCATTACTGTAATTCTAACTCAGCAGACAGACAATGAGATCGTTTAGGAGTTAAGATAAACTTGTTTAAGCATAGCTCTTGGAGGGATCCCAGTGCCAGATGCTCTTAGATTCTGGATCACTTCCAGGTGTTGGGCCACTGATCCTCTTGTGTGCTTTGTGCGCCAGGACACTCTGGGAGGCCCAGATTATTGGAGTAGAGCAGTAGTACTGGGTTAAGGTTCATACCTTCCATGAGGCAGACCCTGATCTGATCTCCAGTACCACATGGTCCCTTTAGCATCATGAGTTAGAGTCTTGGAGGCCTGCTTGCCCACCCTCTAGGGTATCTGTAGGTATGACCCTGGAAGCCCTTTGGCATGCTGGGGTCATCCTGGTAATCCCTGACACCACAGACGCAGTGGGCCAAAAATCCCAGCTGAACCTGACTGCTGACTGTAGGCTCTGGAAGATGAACTGACAACCCCCAGGGCAAGCTACTTGATCTCTCTGTATTTTATCTCCTTTCTATGGAGAATGGGGATAATAATAGTACCTTATACTGTTGTTTTGAAGACTGTGTTAGGTAACTTAATACCAGGTGTTTATGAAACCCTGAAAGGCATTGTTCATGATCATTTCTAATTCTAGCACAGGGATGAAACATCAGAGATCACGTATTTGAAGCTTCTTATTTTATTGGTGAGAAATTTATTCAGGAAAAAAAAACACCAATCATTCCATTTTGTGTCAGAGTCTTTGTTATAGCTGTTCTTCTGACTTCCTCCCTCCACCTATTCCACTAATGTTAATAGAATGGTGGGTGTGAAAATCCCAATGGAAGAAGAAAGTGGTCATGCAGGAGTTCAAGTATCTTGCATGCTCTCTGGTCATTTATAAATCTCTTAGTACCTAACTCAACTGATTGAGAGTAAATGATGACATGTGGGCTTTTCATTAGACTTTTTACCTTCTCTATATAAAAGCATGTGCATGACCTAAACCACCCAAGGATCCAAATCTTTAATGGATAACAACCAACAATTCATGGGCCAGGAGGAGGCTTC